AATACATATGTTAATAATAAATTTTTTAAAAAAATTTAAAAAACATAAAAAAAAATATCTTGAAGGATGATGCACAAAGTGGTAAATGTTGAACTTTTACATAATTTTTTTTACTGTGAACATGGGTTACTCTTATAATCAAACTTAAAAAATAAATTCTAAATACCATTTTAAAGGCAGATGTATTGGGAGAATTATTATTACTATTTTGGTTAAATATCCAATAGAAAAGGAGTTGTGGGAGTAATTAGAGCCCCCCACCCCCCAGAAGAGTTAATATAGTTCACTCTATTCCGCTGTAGATGATGAGGCAGATTTTAATGACTTTGAGTAAACAAAGTGATTGTAGGCATTTGATGTAAAGTATAACTAAATTGCCTCTCTGATTGTCATTTTAGTTGATCCAGAGTACCAGAAGGAAGCAGAACAAAGACATAGAGAATTGGCAGCTAAAGCTGGAGGATTTAATGACTTTGCAACTTTAGCTGTCATCTTTGAACAGTGCAAATCAAGGTATGTGGAATAGTTCTATGTACTAGAAAGTTGTCAGTTTGAAATATAGCTCCAATATGTATTTACTATGTGACTTTAGACAGTAAAATTCAGTGGGGGTACTGTTGACCTCAAGGTATTTTTGTGAACATTAGTGAGATTTATCTATGCCAGGTGACTGTTACTAAGTAGGCATTTATTATATAGTATTAGTTCTCTTCTTTTTTCTCTCCCTAAACCTTTCCTGAAGATGACCTTATAGAATTTTGTTTCTGTAGAAGTAGCTTAGATGTGAAAATGATTGTATATATTTGTTAAAGCATCTATGTATAAGAAGAAATTCATTTATAAATTATTTTTTAATTCACTCAGAGGCACCTGCATTAGTTTTTTCAAATTCCTTAAAGTGCTTTCTCAGTAATTGGACAAGTCTCATAAAAGAACTGACTGTTGCTTATTTGTTTCTAGCTTTATAATAGAAATGAAAATGTTAGACTGTCTTTTTGTTTTTTGGTTTTTTTAAGTAAACTCTGTGACCAACATGGGGCTTGATCTCATAACCCCGAGATCAAGAGTCACATGCTCTACTGAGTGAGACAGCCAGGTGCACCTGTTAGACTGTCTTTCTCTTATAGAAGTTATTTTCAAGATACCAGTATTTTTGTTTTGCAGTGGAGCTCCAGCTTCGTGGTGCCAAAAACATTGGATTCATTGGAGATGCTTATTTTCTGCATTTCGTGTTGAAGCTCAACTTCGAGAACTAATCAGGAAGCTTAAACAGGTAATTATTATAATGATCTTCTCTTGAGTAGCATTTTGGCAAGATTCTCAGAGTACTGTCCCCTAGCTATGGAAATTATGAGGTGTTCTGATCTCTGATTTGTAGAAATAGGCCCCATTTCTAACTGTGAGTACCAAGAACTGTTACCTCTTATCCTTTGGGGAGGTTCTTTTCCTGGTCTTGTGTGGTTGCCTCACATTTATATGCTAACCAGTGCTCAGCTAAACACTTGTGGAGGCCCTTCTGCAAATCTCTGGAGTTTTGTCTCTATCAAGTTCTCTTCTCTCCTGAACTCTTGGCCTGTGAACTCTAGTCGTCTTAGTCTTCCTGGACTCTCAGCTCTTTCTCTTTATGTTTTTTAAATTCTTTAAATTTTTTTTAAAGATTTTATTTATTTATTTGACAGAGAGAGAGAGAGAGCACAAGCAGGGGGAGCAGCAAAGGGAGAGGGAGAAGCAGACTCCCCACTGAGCAGGGAGCCCAATGCAGGGCTTGATCCCAGGACCCTGAGCCGAAGGCAGACGCTTAACTGACTGAGCCACCCAGGTGCCCCAGCTCTGTCTCTTTAGCTCAGGGAGTTCTCCAGGTTCCACTTGGGTTTTTCCTTCCTTGAGCCTTCATCCAGAATCTCTCTCAAGGTTGACTGTAAGCTGGGGCAGTCATTGGGCTTACTTCATTTATTTCCCATACTTCATTTATTTCTCAGAGATCACTATCCTTTATTGCTTGATATACAGTATTTTGGAAATCATTATTTCATATGTTTTGTACATTTTTGGTTGTTTCTAAGGAGAAGGGTAAATCTGAGCTCTCTTTTTTTTTAAGATTTTATTATTTATTTATTTGAGAGAGAGTGCGATCGAGGGGAGGAGCAAAGGGAGAGGGACAAGCAGACTCTGTGCTGTGCGTGGAGCCTGTCATGGGGCTCGATCCCACGACCCTTGAGATCATGACCTGAGCTGAAATCATGAGTCAGACGCTTAAACAACTGAGCCACCGAGGCGCCCCAAATCTGATCCCTCTTACTTCATATTGGCCAGAAACAGAAGTCTCTAGAAATGTGTAGTTTTCAAAATAAAAGATTATTTCATATTATTCTGTGATATTACCACTGTATATATATATTATTATTTCTATAGCAAAGTGATTTCCCAAGAGAGACCTTTGAAGGCCCTAAACATGAAGTACTACGAAGATGTCTTTGTGCAGGCTATTTCAAAAATGTAGCTCGAAGGTAAGCAATATGAGCTTGAGAAATGGATAAGAAATACTACTGTATTTGACTACGATGTTGAACTATTTAATATTAAAGATTGATGATTTATCTAAGCCCTGTGATTATCAGGACATCAATTACAATGACTACCATAATTGTCACTTGTGTAGGGGGAGCTGCAGTGGTTCAGAGTGGGATATTGGCGCTCAAGTTCAGTAAGAGGGAGTTTGTAGGATTCATAGAACAGTTTGTAGGATAGCTGTCTAGCATGGGGGATCAGCACCTAAGTTTAGTGACCAGGGTTTTCTTGCAGAGGGGTGGCTCTATGTGGAGTATGAAAGACAAATATGTTGAGCATGGCATCTCTGAGGAAGAATAGCTTGGTGTGGAGTGTCAGCAATTGAGCAGGAGGGGGAAGGCACTCATACGGGAGGTGTTTGGTGTTGAGTTTAGAGTCTGAGTTTAGAGTCTGAGTGTAGTGAGGGAGGGCATCTTCTTAGGGGAAGGGATAACAATGGTGATGATAGGAGACTCATTATATACAAAGGAATTGATCACATAATTAAATATATTAAAGAATGGTGAAGGGAGTATTGGAAATACTGAAAGGGAGAAATAGGGATGGGAAAGTACAAGATGAGCCCAGAACATCTTATTTTGCCAGCAAGCAAGAAGTGATCTATGAGGTTTGAGGCCATGTTAGAAGTACACTGGAGCTAGCCTGAATAGGCCCCGACTGATCCAATATAGGACATTCTAAGCATCAAAATAAATATTGATAGTAATGGATTATATAGCCCATTAAATAAAGTGTGAAATCATGGGTCTATAGTCATATAAATTAATGAGTAAATTAAAAGTTTAATGACAAATGGAATTAGTTGAGCACCTCTCCACAAAAGTCTTATTAATTACAACGGGAAAGGGGAAAAGTAACTTTTAATGGAGAAACCTGGCAGATGCTACCCAAATGAAGCCATCAAAGTGAACACCATCAGTAATGAAACAAATCGAAATCATGTTCTTCCTGATAGGATATAATGAAGAATACAGCTTCACTTCTGTGATGTTCTTGCCAAAGATGTATAACCTAAATCTAGTCATCATGAAACAAACAAACTCAAATTGAGGGGCATACTACAAAATTACTATTCAAAAAGCTGTCAAGATCCTGAAGATCAAAGAAAGACTGGGGGAGTATGCCATTATGAAAGAGACTAAGGGGACATGAAAAGTAAAATTAATACTTGATTCTGAATTGGATTCTTTTGCTATAAAGGATATTATTAGGACATTTGGATAAAACTTTATTGGGGTCTGAGGGTTAGATGTTAGTCATGTTCAGTGTTAATTCCCTGGTTTTGATGGTTGTATTATATATTATGGTCATGTAGGAGAATGTCCTTGATTATAGGAAATATACACTCAGATATTTGTGGATGATGAGGTATAAGGTTGGCAACTAACTCAAATGGTTCAAGTAAAAAAGATTTTTGTACCGTACAGTATATAAACAATTATAATGCAGTCTGATCTGAGTTATAATGGGAGTGTTTATAAAGTATTATAGGAAATCATCTGTGGTGATGATTGAACTAGGGCTAATATTTTGACAAGTTTTTGGAATAACATTTATGTAGGGAAGTATAGAAGAGGATAGAAATTTCTTTAAAAGATTTTATTTATTTGAGAGAGAGAGAAAAAGAGAGCACGAGCGGGGTGGGGGGAAGAGGGAGGGGGAGAGGTAGAAGCAGGCTCCATGCTGAGCAGGGAGCCCAATGTGGGACTCAATCTCAGGACCCTGGGATCATGACCTGAGCCAAAGGCAGACGCTTAACCAACTGAGCCACCCAGGCGCCCCAGAAGAGGATAGGAATTTGAAGTTAAGAACATGAATTAGAGAAATGATAGGTGCAATGTTCTAATTATCAGATTTTAGAATAGGGAAAATTATCCCTTTAAAAAGAGATGTAGCATACTATAAAGAACACTGTATTTAAGTCAGAAGACCTATGTTTGGGACTTGCTTTCACCATACATTAACTCTGTGATCTTTAGAAGGCTAGTTGATTTATTTGAATTTCAGTTTTGACTTCTTAATAAAAATGACTTGCTCTCAAAACTCACAGGTTGTTTTGAGGCTTTATTATAAAATCATTTTGGAAACTTTAAAACACAAATACAGTATTATTGTTGATATTATTACTTATTAACCAAAAATCTTTGTACTTAACTGAAATGACTGTTTAGGTTGTATGTAATGAGAAGTTGTATCATTATTTAAGAGGAGTTAGTAGAGAAGTTATAGTGACACTTGAAAAAGTTTAAACTTATGCTTATAACACTTTTTGTGGTAGAACATATTATAATTGTTTATTGTTAGACTTGGTGCTCTACTTATTTCATTGTTTTACTGTTCTTGTCTTTATCCTTTGATTTTTGTTTTGTTTTGTTTTTTAGATCTGTTGGGAGAACGTTTTGCACAATGGATGGGCGTGGAAGCCCAGTTCACATTCATCCTTCCTCAGCAGTAAGTGCCTTATTATTATTAAAGTGTCCTATTTTTTTTAAGATTTTATTTATTTTTGACAGAGAGAGAGTGTACAAGCAGGGGAAGCAGCAGGCAGAGGGGGAGGGAGAAGCAGGCTCTCTGCTCAGCAGGGAGTCCAACATGGGGCTCGATCCTGTGACCCTGGGATCATGACCCGAGCCGAAGGTAGACGCTTAACTGTCTGAGCCACCCAGGCGCCCCTAAAGCGTCCTATTTTTAATAAAGGAAAGAAATTTGTAAAGGTGTAGGACTAAGTCATGCATAAATGTCTTCTACTTTTCACTTTGAGGGTAAATTTAGCATATATCTTTATTACATAAAGCTGTAAAGGTACTGGTTGGCCCATGCCTTCTGTTTGATTGAAGAATATAGGAATTAATTCAGAAGAGTTTGGGCTGTTAGTATGTGGCTGGTCAAATGTGGAATGAGGCAAGTTACTGAGTTATCATCCTTAAATGAAATCTTTTGTATAGCTTCATGAACAAGAAACCAAACTCGAATGGATCATTTTTCATGAGGTATTAGTTACCACCAAGGTCTACGCAAGAATTGTGTGTCCAATCCGTTACGAATGGGTGAGAGACTTGTTACCCAAGTTGCATGAATTTAATGCACATGATTTGAGCAGTGTGGCCCGACGTGAAGTGAGAGAAGATGCAAGAAGGAGATGGACAAATAAGGAAAACGTAAAGCATCTAAAGGGTGAGTCAGTCGCTTGTTCTAGTGATATAAGTCCAAGGAGCATATATGTCCAAATTCTCATATAATTACAGAAATACTGTTATAGGGCGTAGATTCTGGTTCTGTCTCCTCAGAAAGCAAAGATTGGTCGGGAGTCTCAGACTTCGTTACTTTGACTTCCTTCTTTCCTTCCAGTTAATCATGTTTTCCTTAACTCCTCTGTCCAACATTATTAACAACAGTATCTGTTGAGCTTTTACCATGTGCTAACAACTGGCATTACCCCATTGAGTTTTCACAATAACCCCATGAGGTAAGTACATATCCCCACGTTATAGATGAGGAAATACTTAGCAGTTACAATAATTTGCTGAAAATCCCATAGTTAATAATTCATGAGTCTGGATTTTGAACCCAAGGAAACTGACTTGATGGTCTATACTCTTTTTTTTTTAAGATTATTTTTTGAGAGAACACAAGCAGGGGGAGCGGGAGAGGTAGAGGGAGAAGTAGCCTCCTCACGGAGCAGGGAGCCCAGTGCAGGACTCAATCCCAGGACCCTAGGGTCATGACCTGAGCCAAAGGCAGATGCTCAACCAACTGAGCCATGCAGGCACCCCTTGATGGCTTATACTCTTAATCATAATAGCATACTGCTTCTCAGTAGTCCTTTGCTATTTTTATTTTGTTTATAAAATTTTGTGAACTATTACTTCAGAACATCTTTTTTTCCTACGGGATCTTTCTGTAAAATGTTAGGTCTCTAGTTAGGAGGCATAAACAGTTATACTGAACTAGGAGATAAAGTTTAATTTTCAGCTCACATATACAAAAAGCTTTTCAGTAAAGCTTTCTGGGCTGATTTTTTAAAATAAGATTTTATTTATGTATGTATGAATGAATGAATGAATGAGACAGAGAGGGCACAGGGTGGGAAGGGGCAGAAGGAGAGAGAGAATCTCAAGCAGGCTCTGTGCTAAGCTAGGGCTTGATCTCTCAACCCTGAGATCATGACCTGTGTCGAAATCAAGAGTCGGGCACTTAACACACTGAGCCACCTAGGCACCCCTATGATTTTATAATAAAGGTCAACTTGGGGTGGAAAGACCAATGCCTTTTTTTTTTTTTTTTAGATTTTATTTATTTATTTGAGAGAGAGAGAATGAGAGAGAGCACATGAGAGTGGGGAGGGTCAGAGGGAGAAGCAGACTCCCTGCCGAGCAGGGAGCCTGATGCGGGACTCGATCCCGGGACTCCAGGATCATGACCTGAGCCGAAGGCAGTCGCTTAACCAACTGAGCCACCCAGGCGCCCCAAGACCAATGCCTTTTAAAAAATAGATGTGTTGAAATCAGTGGTTGTCAGAAGCTGGGGATGAGAGGAGGGGCTGACCACAAAGGGACAGGAGGGAATTTTGGGGGTTGAGGATTCTGTCTCTTGAGTTTGGTCACAGACTGTAATGTACTTGTGAAAATTCATAGAACTGTTTACTAAAAAGGGTATATTTTATTGTAGATAAATTATACCTTAATTTTTTAAATGAAAAAAAAATACATAAACTATACAGCCTCATACGAAAAATTAAGATATATAAAAGATAGAGAAAGGTAAATATAGATATCTGCTGATGGATTTTCACCAGCATTACCATTCCCCCCACGATATATATATATATATATAGTTGTGAAGACCTAACAATATACAACTGGCCAGAAGAAATGAGGGTCATGTCCTCTGCATTTAGTAACATTTATTCATGCCCTCAGCTAGAATTAGGTCTAATTCCAAGAACCCATGTTAATTCTTATACCATGCAAGAACTTAAGAGTCTAAGGCAGTGGGGCACCCCGGTGGTGGCTCAGTCGGTTAAAGTGTCAGACTCTTGATTTCGGCTCAGTGATGATCTTAGGGTTGTAAGATCGAGCCCCGCATTAACTCCACAATGAGCCTGGAGCCTGTTTGGGATTCTGTCTTCCTCTTCTGAGGCTGATTGATGGAGCAAATTGTATTATCCTTTTTTAACATCATGAGAAATAGAGTGGTAAGGAAATTTGCCCAAGATCTGGAAGAGTCTTTAGAAATGTAGTGTTTTGTTGCAGTGTATAACTGTACTACATGTTTGAATTAGGGTCGGTTATTCGAACATTTAGGCCTTCATGCTTGCATTTCTTTCTCTCTTCCTTTTTTTCCCCTTCCCTCTTTCTTTCTTCTTATTTTCTAACCATAGACTTATTTGTTTCTTTTGAAAGAACAAAATTTAATTTCCTTTTTTCCCCCCTTAACATTGAAAAATCAGGGCATCTCCTTCTTTTAACACTTCTTGTACTGAGTTTCACGACTAAAGTTTTACTGGATTAATTTGTAATGTTTTCAGATGGAATCTCAAAAGAAGTCCTAAAGAAAATGCAGAGAAGAAATGATGATAAATCCATATCAGATGCACGTGCTCGTTTTCTTGAGCGAAAGCAGCAAAGGTCCCAGGATCACAGTGACACACGGAAGGAAACAGGCTAAGCAGTGAACCCTCCAATTCAGGAAGTAGGAAAAGCGGCCAGGAAATGTGCTTCTACTTTGCCATTTATATCAGACAGCACTACCAAGAGGAAGTGGTCAGCAGCTGTTACTAGCATACAAGCTAAAAGCAAATCCAAGTTCATCAATACCAATAAATGAAATTTTCAAAGAAAAGATTGAATTGCCATTGTCATAGACAATGATATATGAAACCAATGAAAGACAATACATGTGATATTTTCCTCACTTCAGTTTTGCTGGCCTTAACTGGTATCAGATGCTGTCACTGAGATATTTTCAAAGAACATTGAATTGTATTTAATCAGCGTGTATTCCATTTGCATTTGAAGCATTAAAAATTATTTTCCTTAAATCTCTTTAAGGCCTTCTTGTTGCTGTTAGAATAGTATTATATCAGGTTATCAGGTATGTGACCATTTCCTTCAGAAGGCTGAATATAAGAGGTTTTTACTCAGCAATACTTAGATGTCTAACCGTTTAATTGCTACAGAGCTTTATAGATATTTAGAGAAAAGACTTAATCAATTAGTAAATAAGAAAATTGCCTATGGCAAGTTTCTTTGTTGAATTAATATTAATCCTTAAATTGATTTTTCTGGGATTATACAAATTCCTTTTTATATAAAAATATATTGTTTAAAACAGTAGCTATAGCCATTAACCAAAGGACAGATGATATATATATATGTTTTTTTTAGCTGTCCCTACATACCTGTATCAGCACCATGTATGTAGGTGTGACAGTGTTTCAAACAGCCCCTCCACCTGGCCTACTCTCTTGCCTCCAGCTGCTTGGGTAGGACCATTTAAACATCTGTTATGCTGATCTTGAGATGGGAGTTTTTCAAAGCAGCCAACACCACATCACCAGTGTTTCAAATTGGAACCTTGAGGCTAGTTAATATCACACTCAGGCCACACTCAGCACTTGCCCACTCTGTTGTTTACTGCCTTGTATTCTAGTTATTTGTGTATTTGTCTGTCTCCCCCACTAGATTATACGCTCCTTGTGGGCAGGGACTATGTCTTTCTCATCTTTGTATTTTTCATGGCACCTAGCACAGTGCTTTGCACATAGTAGTCACTCAGTGTTTGTTAAATAAAGCTATTAGTGTCATTAAAATTCAAAAGGTAGTATAATGTGTGTTTTTAGATATTTTTTGTAAAAATTAAGAATCTAAATTTTTCATAGGTAACTAACTTTTGCAGTTATTTCCTTTGGCATCTAAACAGTTTTCTGTTCAATATTAGAAACTTGAGCCTTTATTGAAAAACCCTGTGAGGACCCAAATCTGTGGGTTTGTTCTTAAGGTAAGGTGAGTGATGATGGTTCCTCTAACATTCCCAGCATTGTTGCTTTGCTCATTGTAATCTTCAGTGCTCTTGACACTCTTTCAGCACATTAGTCTTACCAGGTTCTCTTCTCAGGTATATGTATCAGTGTACTTCCTTAGATGTGGTAGGGCTGTATGTGGACTCTTAGAATAAATGCTCTTTCATTTCAGTAAATATTAGCCACACATTCTAAATCTATAGTACGTAATCACATTTCCCAGTAATGTTCTTGATAGCATTTTCCCCCAGTTCAGGATCCAGTCAAGAATCATATACTGTATTTAATCTCTTTTAGTCTGGAAAATGTCCTCAGTCTTTCTTGGACTTTCACATTTAAGACTTTTGAATAACACTTCTGACATTTTTTAGTAATACAGGCTAAGTTATTATTCTTTTTTTTTTTTTTTTAGAGAGGGAGAGGGAGACCGAATCTTAAGCAGCGCAGAGCTTGATCTCATGACCCTGAGATCATGCCCTCAGCCAAAAATCAAGTCAGACGCTTAACTGACTGAGCCACCCAGGTGCCCCCAGGCTGTTATTTTATAGAATGTCCTCAGTTTGGATTTCTCTGATGTTTAACACATGTTGGGAATTCCATGACTGGAAAACTGCATATGTATTGCCAATGTCTTTCCTAAGGCATCAAATCTGGAGGTACATGGTATTTGCCCCTTATTGGTGACATTAATTTTGATTACTTGGTTAGGGTATTTTGATTTCTTCAGTGTAGTTACTCTTATTATTAAGTAATTTGGGGAGAGATGTTGAGATTATGTTAAATAGCCTATTCCTCATAAATTACCACCCTCTGGATTTACCATAACTTGATGACTCTTGCTGAATCAGTGTTATTTTTATGGTTGCAAAATGGTGATTTTTTTCCCCCCTCATTCTTTCCTATATTTATTTGTTGGCATTGAGAAAGAGCTTTCTTTGAAGAAGAATTTCCAGTATACAGATGGATGCTAGGAGTAGCATAGATCAAGACAGAGAATTAGAAAGCCCAGGGGCTATTTGAGAAGGGTGGCAAACCAGTTTATTTGGTGCATAGAGTACATGTAGGATAGTAATAGGCTAAAAATGTTGGTTCAGAACAGATTATACAAGGCTTTGAAAGCCAAGCTATGGAATTTGGACTTATTTTGTACTATACAAATGTATTAAAGGAGAATGACATCATTAAAGCTTTAAGGTAATTGTGACAACAGTTCCTATAAAAATAGGTGACTTCCCCTGAGAGAGGCTGTCCATAGGTTAAGAGGAATACTAGATCTAGTTAAGAAGGTGGAAGGAGCCTTGGAGGAACAGTAGTGGTAATGGACAAATTTATTCTTTAAAGAATGAGGATTCACCTTCAAATTACTAAATGAAACAAAACAAAAACAAATGACAAATGTTATAGAAAAATGGCCAAAGGACATGTTTTCTCACAAAAGAGGAAACACGAATGTTCAGTAAGACAAGGTACTGAATCTTACTAGTAATTAGGGAAATCCAGTGTAAAACAGTGAGATGCCATTCTTTTTCATCAGATTGGCAACAATCAATATGCCTGAAAAGTGTTGGCATAGAATAAATTGCTCTTATTTTAGAGAACATTTTGGCAATATCTAGTAAAGTTGAAGATGTGCATAACCTATGACCCAGCAAGCCCACCTTTAGATTCATATCCTAAGAACTCTTTGGGATTATATAAAATACTCTGTTCCTCATAAAGTTTGACTCATGTAGATTTAGCATCATTTGATGATTGACGTTCAGTACTTAAAAATATGCTAAATACAGCATTCATAAAATTGTTATACTCCGTTGTTTCTAATAGCAAAAATGAGAACAGTATATACGTATCAGTAGAGAAATGGTTGAATAATTGTTCTATGTTCTTATGGTCAAATTCTATACAGCAGTGAAAGTGATTTTTGAGACTCCTGATGCCTACTCTTAAACTGCTTTGCAGAACAGGTGAACCAGTTTGCATTCCCAACAGCAATGTTGTAAAGTGCCTGTCTTACTGTAGCCTGTAGTCCCTCAAAAAACCTTTTTTTTTTTTTTTTTTTAAAGATTTTATTTATTTATTTGAGACAGAATGAGAGAGAGAGAGAGCTCATGAGAGGGGGGAGGGTCAGAGGGAGAAGCAGGTTCCCTGCCAAGCAGGGAACCCGATGCGGGACTCGATCCCGGGACTCCAGGATCATGACCTGAGCCGAAGGCAGTCGCTTAACCGACTGAGCCACCCAGGCGCCCCTCAAAAAAATTCTTCTAATTATAGACAAAAGTGCCTCATTATTATGTTAATTTACATATTTAGATATTCAGCTCTTTTTCCTTATGTTCAAACTGTCTACAAGAAATAACTGATTTGAATTTGATAAGGTCAGTTAGTAAATATTTTAGGCTTTCAGGCGATACAGTCTCTCTTGAAACTACTCCGCTGTTGTAGTATAAAAAACAGCCATAGACAGTACATAAACAAATGGGTACGGCTGTATTCCAATAAAACTTACGGACGGTAAAATTTAAATATCATGTAATTTTCCTATCAGGAAACATTATTCTTTTGACTTCACTTCTTTACCACTTGCACTTTAATCCAGGAAAGCTACTTTTCACATACCCATTCTAATTCAGATTATTTCATTTGTAAGAAAAGATCTTAATTTCATGAAATATCTGAGATTTTTCTGGCTTTTATTTTTCTTGATAGCAGAGTTGATAGGATTGAGCCTAATGTTAGGCATTAATAAATTTAAATTATAATCTTTATTCTCAGAATTTTCAGAGTAATCTATATTACTTGTTAGCTGTTTCTTTAACCTTAGAATATGAATAATACAAAATTCTCTTGTGAAATTATTAAAGATTTTCAACTCTTTTTTTAAAGATTTATTTATTTTAGAGAGAGTACAAGTGGCGGGAGAGGCAGAGGAAGAGAATCATCAAGCAGGTTCCCCACTGAGTGAGGAGCCTAACGCAAGGCTCGATCTCATGACCCTTGAGATCCCCACCTGAGCCAAAAAAAGAGTCAGACGCTTAACTGACTGAGCCACCTAGGCACCCATTTATTTATTTATTTATTTATTTATTTATTTAAGTAGGTTCCACACCCAATGTGGGGCTTGAACTCAACCTTGAGATCAAGAGTTGCATGCTTTACTGATGAGCCGGGCAGGCACCCCAACTATTAAAGATTTTCAGAGAAAAGAATCACATTACTTGTCCAGATAAAATCTACATGTTTCTTAACCTAATATTACTTGGTGCTCAGCTAATACATAGGAAATGAGATGGGTTAATCCAAAATACAGCATAGCACCCAGTTTGGTGCCTTTTGCATATGATAGATGTTTATAAATAATTGTACTAGCTCCAGGTATGCTTATTGACAACATAAGTTGGCCCAGGCTTTGAATTAAATAGGTGATACAGTCAATAAATGTTATAATAGCTTAAGAAATAGGATAAATAGATTTTAAGCTGAGTTTTTAAGGCAGAGTAGAACTTGGACTAGATTAAGAAAGGAAACAGAGTGTGTGATTGGGAGAGGAACCAGAATTAAGCATGGAAAGAATATTAGTGTCACCTTGAGGGGCTTTTTTGAAGTATTTTTCAGTTTCCAGTCTGTAATGTGGGCTAACACTAGGTCAAATGAATAATTTGAGTGCCACTCATTCTTGCAGACAGAAAAATGTGAAAGTTGGCTTGGACTCGGGTTATTCTTTTACAGCATATAGCACTTAAGAGACTGCCATTGTGTGCCAGTCTGCTACTCTATTTGGTTACCTTTCAAGAAATGGAATTTTTAAGCCTTCCTCAGTAATGAGGAGTATAATCTCATCTCTACCTCTGATTTGGTGGTTTAGCTAGATAGTCCAAAAATACAGAGATGGTAAAGGGCTGTTTTTATCAGGTTTTTATTTTCACCCTAAAGAGAACTTTTCATGTCTCTTGGTGCTAACAGGGCTGACTCCAAAAAGAAAAAGAAACTTAAATCAATAAATGAGGTAGGCTTATATGAATGCTACATATTTTTCTTTACTGGAATGTTATGGAATGAATAGTTGTGTAGTTATATACTGTACAACGTTATAAACTCACAGGTATTTGGAATAAAAGCAACCAGGAAAAGGAAATAACCAAGTTTTTGGTTAGTTTTACATAATCCACTTTTATCAGTCATGACATGTTAAGATAAGTCATTTTTAAAAAAGTAATTTGTAGTGTGTCCTAAATTTGGTACATATTCAGATCAGGCTACATATGTAGGTGTACTTACAGAAATTTCACAGTGATGAACTCGAGGACTTGAAAATTCAGAATTGCTTTCCCCATATAAAAAATTGTTTAATCAGGGGCGCCTGGGTGGCTCAGTTGGTTAAGCGACTGCCTTCGGCTCAGGTCATGATCCCGGGGTCCTGGGATCGAGCCTCACATCAGGCCCCCTGCTCAGCGGGAAGCCTGCTTCTCCCTCTCCCACTACCCCCTGCTTGTGTTCCCTCTCTCACTGTCTCTCTCTGTCAAATAAATAAATAAAATCTTTAAAAAAAAATTGTTTAATCAAAAGATTTTAACATTGAGTATTTAATTTTTCATTGTATGTCCTGAAAGGTATTTGTTGACCAAGTAAATTAGATTATACTTCCTTGAAACTTTATTATTGAGTTAATCAAAAACTTTGTTTACTAGATCTGTTTTTACCATTCTGTTTTGAGAGTTTACTACCATAAGAAGGCTGCATACGTGAGTTGCTACTAGTAGAACTATCCCTGGAGTGTGACAGAATTTTAAGATTGCCCAG